CTGTTCCTCCAAATTTTTTGTCCTTTTAGGTCTCCAGACCTGTAATGGAAGGAGTGGCCTCAAAGATTTCTGAAATGCCTTCAGGGTTTCTTCCCTTTGTTCTGACTATTACCACCTGGCTCCCTTTTTTACTATCTGGCCTATCCAGGTAGTGGTTGCTCCACAGTCCCCTTGGATTACTCTCCTATAAGTGCTCTTTCTTTCTCTACTACTTGAACATGCTGCAAATATTTACAATTTTTATGTGCTGCTTCTCTTTCAGTTATAAATTCCACCTTTAGTTCATTTATTTGATGCTGCATCGGATTGTAAGCTGTTAGAAACGGCCATTCCACTTCTTGAAAGCTTTTCTGCTTTGAAATTTTTCCATCTGATGCCTTAGGTCATCACTCTTAAGTTGGCGTTCCAAACTAAGTCATGGGAATAGTGTATCAAAATTCTTAGTTACAGTGCAAAGGGTGACCTTTGCTCCTGTTCCCAATAAGTTCCTAATTTCCATTGGAGACCTTGTAAGTCTGGCCTCTACTGTCTATATTTCTATCAGCATTTTGGTCACAAACATTTAGCCAATCTCTGAGAAGTTCCACACTTTCCTTCATTTTTTCATCCCCTTCTGAGGCTTCCAATTCTTCCAACCTTTGCCCACTAGCCAGCTCCAAAGCTGCTTCCACGTTTTCAAGCATTTTTATAGCAACACCCCACTCATCGGTACCAATTTTCTGTCTTAGTCCATTTTTGTTGCTATAATGGTATACTCAGGGCTGGGTAATTTATAAGGAAAAGCAGTTTATTTGGCTTGCAGGTCTGCAGCCTGTAAAGCATGGTGCCAGCATCTGCTTCAGGTGATGGCATCAGCCTGCTTCTGGCATGGCAGAAGGCAAAGCAAAGTTAGCAAGTGCAGAAATCACACGATGAGAGATTGAGAGATGAAGAATTGTGGATGGGGAGGCTTTATTGAACAATGAACTCTCATGGGAACTAATAAAGTGAGAACTCATTACTGAAAGGACAGCACCATGTCATTCATGAGGAATCCAGCCCCATGACCCAAATATCCCTTATGCAGCCTCACTTTCAACGTTGGCTGTCAAAATTCAATGTAAGATTTAGAGGGTGCAAGCAGACCAAATTATACAAAGCCCCTTGGCAAAAACTGGCCTTGATCTACTCACAGTGTTATTTACAGGTTAAGAGAAAGATCACTTTCTGAAAGACACAGAAAACTTAACAATAGCCGGGCTTGGTGGCTCAGCCTGTACTCCCGCGCCTTTGAGAGGCTGAGGTGAGTGGATTGCCTGAGCCCGCGGGGTTCGAGACCCGCCTGGGCAGCGAGACCTCTTTTCTACAATAAATAAAAAAATCAGCCGGGTGTGGTAGCGCATGCCTGTAATTCCAGCTACTTGAAAGGTTGAGGAGTAAAGATTGCCGGAGCCCAGCAGGTCTAGGCTGCAGTGGCCGGGAGCGGCCACCGCACTCCAGTCTGGGCGACAGAATGAGACTCCAACTCAAAAACAAAACAAAACAAAAAAAACTTAAAAATATTTTGAGGACCTCAAATAGAGGAGAATTTACGTGCAGATGAAGGCTCAGGGCAAGTCCGTGGCATGACTCCTTAGCCCAAAGAGATGTTTAGAAGTATAATTTTGAATTGCGTACTAAAGGTCCAAGCAAAGTAGACTTAAAAGAGATCATCAAGAACTATTCTTACTGTACTTATGCAAATAATCAGGTGAAGTTTAATGATAGCAGAATTATTTTATAAAAAACTTAGTCTTACTTGATTATATTTGGTAGAAATGGGTGTGATTGCAGGGAGAAAACGTTATGTTTTAATAGAAAGCTCTAAGCAACCATAATTAGATTCCAGCTCTGTTCACCGTCTTCAGCTTTTCTTATCTACCTATAAACTACCCTATTCCTGAAACTCTACAAGCTAGAGCTGGACCACTTGATGTAAACTTCGGGAGACACATTTCATGCATCCTGCTAAATGGGCTACTCAGGAAGTTCATCAAAGTAACATTAACAGAGATATTCTGACTAAAAACTAGAAGAATCATCGCCTTGGAACTCGCCATTTTATTTCATCACCTAAAAATGCTTTGAGCTTAAATCAAGAAACCTCCACAACTAATTGCCTTCTGGAATCAGAGACTGAGTTTATAGATTGTTCTAACCATTAAACTTGGTTTTTATTTTGTTTATTTTAATGGGGTTGGCTCATAGGTACCTTGACTATGGAACATATCCCAATCTCTGGGTATTAGTCATCATTGTAATCTTCCTGGTGTGCTGTATTTTCTTAAGAGTCTTACGTGCAAGTTCATAGCCATCACAGTATGCCAAATTTTTTCACTGTGATTAGAATTACAAAAACAAGATGAACAACAAATGAAATTCATCTTCAAGACACCAAACATTGTGATTTATGAGTTCCATGTTGAGAAAAAATCAAATCAGCAGTGATGGTGACAGAAAGTGGCAGACGTGCCAGAGTTTGGGTCAATATCCCATAATTGACAGACTGACTAAAAGGGAGGAAATATTTAAAATAATTAAAGTACATGAGGCTGAGGTGGCTCCAGCAAAGAGGGTTCCTACCTTAGCATACAGAAACACATCTCAGTGTAAATGGCAAAACAAAAGTTAAATTTAGTCAACCAGAAGCCACCAATATCTAGGGACTTTCCAAAGGAATGGTCTAAATAATGCCATTGCTCCCTTTAATGCATAAAGCATTTGCTTTGCCTTGCTTCCATATCCACCATATAAAAACCTTCTTTTGTCCCTTCAGGAAAGCCCCAAACCACATGCAATACAGAACTGTCCAATAAAGCATTATCTCTTTAAAAACATCTATCTCTCTTTTTTTTTTTTTTTTTGAGTTGGAGTCTCACTCTGTCACCCAGACTGGAGTGCAGTGGCATGCTCCCGGCCACCACAGCGTCAAACTGCAGGGTTCCGGCAATCCTTCCGCCTCAGCCTTCCAAGTAGCCGGAATTACAGGCATGCACTACCACGCCCGGCTGATTTTTTTAATTTATTGTAGAGATGAGGTCTCACTGCCCAGACGGGTCACGAACCCATGGGCTCAGGTTCAGGCAATCCACTCACCTCAGCCTCCCAAAGGCGCAGGATTACAGGCTGAGCCACCGAACCTGGCTTAAATTTATCTTTTTTCAGAGTCTAGGTCTCACTCTGTCACCTGTAGTGAAGTGAAGTGGCATGATCACAGCTTACCACAGTCTCAATTTCCTGGGTTAAGGCAATACTTTCTACCTCAGCCTCCCAAGTAACTGAGACTACCAGCATGTGCCACCATGACTAGCTAATTTTTTTTACTTTTATTTTTTTTTGTAGAGGAAAGGTCTTGCTATGTTGCCTAGGCTGGTCTCATACCTTTAGGTTCAAATGATCCTCTGGCATTGACCTCCAAAGTACTGGGAATATAGATGTGAGACACCATGCCTGGTATACTCTAAATGTTTAATGCTGCTACACTTATATTTTAACTATTTATATGTACATATACTTTATAACTATACATACACATGAAGAAATAATTGCATGCATGTGTATATATGCAGATCTAAAGATCTATAACATACATGCATATAATCTGTTAGCTATGATAATCCAATAGAAGAAAACAAAGAGGAATATAATTAATTGGAGTTCTGTTTCAAAAAAGACTCTAACAGCATTGTTGGTGAATGAATTGAGTGCTAGACGGATGGAAGAGATAAGTACCTAGAGGTTTGTAAAATTACAGATAAGTAGTTTTCAGGGTAAGGACCTCAGTGATATCAGTGAGGATATAAAAGGAAATTTAGTGTCAAAATAGAAAGGACAGGGTGGTGGACTAGTGAATTAATGACTCACATACAAAAAAAACTTGAAGTGTGAAATTTTTGAGGAAGAAAATATCCAAACTTCCTCATTTTCATGTTTTCCCTTCCATTCACTGTGTACTATGATGACAGATCATCTTAACGTTATTTGAACTTTTGTGATATACATTTAAAGCTCCTAGTTGCTCAACAGTGTGTTCCAATAACCTTATAATACTAATTTCTTTATATTAGTAGCTTTATTTTTTAATTCGGAAGAGTAAGACCAATTTCTTCCTATTATGTGCCTATCTTTCTTCTATAACCCTATACCAATTCAGTTATTTTATTTTATCTGTCAATATTGTGAATTAGTGAATCTTTCCAGAATGCCTAAAAACATACATGCCTAGCTGTAAAGGGACTTAAAAGTCATTATAGACAGTCTGAAGCAGCTTACCTCTTCTTATACATATAATCACAGCGGAATTAAGAGCATTCACATTGGACCTACCTCAATGTCTTAACTCCCTTCTCATTTTTTTCTCAATGCATTCCCATTTCTATTTATTTCTTTGCTCAATATGTGAGTTGAATCTCTACAAGAAGTGAAATTCACCCTTTCCCAATAAAATGGAATAAGAGATCTTTTGATGGTGAGCAGAAGTCTTGGGATTTGCCCCTGTTCACCCAAAAATAAGTCTGCCTCCACTGAGGAGTTAAATGTGATGGTAGTTTCAGGCAATATTCAAGTCCATATCAGATGAACTACACTATTTAAACATTTAATGGATTTATAAAGCCACATTGAATAAAATACAACACTATAAAACACTTTTATTTACTTTCTGCTATAATTATTCTACTGCAATATGAACTCTTGATTAAAATTTTTGAAGGCTATTGAATAACATATGAGAAATAATAGTTTATTAACTACCAACACCTTAAGTCATTAAAATTCTAGGACAGTTATAATTGTAAAAAAAAATACTCAATACTAATAAAAACACAGATATCTCTAACTTGTACAATGTTGCAACTATTTTTTTTACTAAACAGACAACAGAGATTAGTATGAGATCTAAACATTTCTTTTTAACACTTTTGTAAGTGAATCTATTACTTGCTTATTCCTCAGGCTATAGATAATGGGATTTAACAGAGGAATTATCCAATGTAAAAGAGAGAGTCCATCATGTCTTGATCATCTGCTTGGGGTGATCGAGGGCGTACATACATGAAGAGAAGGGGGCCAAAGTATAAAGAGACAGACAAGAGATGGGCGCCACAGGTGGAGAAGGCTTTCCTTATGCCTTTGACAGACTTCTTTTTTAGGATAGTGAAGAGAACAAAAGTATAAGAGACAAGAACAGTCATAATGGTGAATACCTGAATCGAACCTGAGAAAATAAAAATCATTAGAAAATTAACAGAAGAATCAGTACAGGAAATCTTTAACAATGGGACAATGTCACAGTAAAAGTGATGTATTATGTTAGAATCACCGAAGGTTAATCTGAGTAAAAAATTTTCATGAATTACAGCATGAAGAAAGCCAGCAACAAATGACAAGACTAATAGCTGAATGCATCGTGCATTGGTCATAATCACCGGATAAAGTAGAGGTTTGCATATGGCTATATAGCGATCATATGCCATTGATGCTAAGAGAAAACATTCTGTTGTTACACTGATTGCAAAGGAAAAAAATTGTATCTTACATTCAGAGAGAGATATCATAGTACTCTTGGCAAAAAAGTTGACCAGCATTTTTGGAGTCACTGTGGATGATATCCAAGCATCCACAAAGGCTAAACTTCCAAGGAATAAGTACATGGGGATGTGAAGGTAAGAATCATTCCAGATGAGAACAATCAGACCAAGGTTCCCCAAGATAGTGATGAGGTATATTACCAAAAACACCAGGAACAGGGGGATTTTCCACTCTGGTTGATACATAAATCCTGTGAGAGCAAATTCTGTGAGCAATGTTGCATTTTTCTCTTCCATGTCCTCACTACATGTCCTCTAAAATCAAATGCAATAAATGTCAAAGAACATTTGCAATGGAATCATGACTGAAATTGAGAAGAAGTGTTGAAATAAATTATACATATCAGTTTACTTTATTTATCAGTATTATAATTGATGAACACTATGTTTGAGGAATTAAAGTAATGAGATATTATTGTTCAAAATAATACAGGAATGAACAGATTTAGACAAAAGTGGAGGCACTGTATACATTTACTAAACTTATGTGGACATTATTAAATGCAGTAGAAAAATTCTTAGTGTAGGTCATGGGAAAAGGTTTTTGAAGGGTCTGGATTAACAATAAATCAATTGAATGCCATGTGAGAGATCTTACACTTTTTTTCATGAAATATGCATGAATCAATAATTTTAAGATGGAGAATGCCATCATAATACACTTTTAAAATTAAAGAGAGATTGGAGTTAGGGATACTGATTAGGAACCTGTTACTAAAGTTGAGAGGATCCCAAATCAGATTACACATTATAATCATCTGGAAGGGTTTTTTTTGTGAAAAATATAGATTGTGAGATTTTAGTATAGAAATAAATTAGGTAGTTCAGAAATGAGGTCTGGGAATCTGCGTTTGAAAATACCCTCTAGGTCATTGGTCCCCAATCTTTTTGACATCAGGGACCCATTCCATGGAAGATAGTTCTTCCACAGATGGGGTAGGAATGCGAGGGAAAGAGGAGATCCCCATGCATTCGATTCTCATAAGGAGGACGCAACCTAGATCCCTCACATGCACAGTTCACAGTAGGATTTGCCACTGGGTTGATCTGACAGCAAACCTCCGACCTATCACTCACATCCTGTTGTGTGGCCTGGTTGCTAACAGGTCATGAACCAGAGCAGCCCATGGCCTGAGGGTTGGGGCCTCTGCTCTAGGTGATTAAAGTACATGTGAAGTGTCCAGTTTGTGTCTGATATGATATCGGAAGAGATGATGAGACAAAGAGAAAGAATCAAAAGAATTCTAGTCTCTAGAATTCTGTCACATATCTGATGTGAGGGAAGTGGTCAGTGAAAGAAAGAGGAGTTCTTTGGCAACTGTGAAAATGGACATCAAAAATTGACAATGAGAACTCAGATGTGCTGACAAGTTTGTGAAGTGAGTCTCATCTAAATAACTAGGTGAGATCTAATCAGGAATATGAGCCTGCTACAGCTTCACAGAAATAATGACGGAATAACTGTGGTACCCAAAGGCATATTCATCGGAAAGTAGACCAAGAAAAGAAAAGAAGGTCAAGAAAAGAAATAGAGGAAGCCATACTAAATAGGAAACAAAATAGATATGTCACTTATAAGATGGTAAGGGATCTGACCCTCTTTTTTTCCACCCAAGTGGCAAGTCTTTGTGGCTGTCAGAGGTTACCGTTCTAGAAAACAAATGAACTAGAAACTCATTTTCCCATTCCTTTTGCATCTAGAGTGAAGGGACATGATCTAGGATGTCCAGTGAAACGCAGATACCCTACATTTAAAATTTGGAAAGAGCCAGAAAAAGGTACAGAAACAAAAATATATATGGGTTGCAAAGGCAGCCAAGGCAACAATACCAAGTTTCAACCTAATGCATTCTGCAATGACATCAATGGCATTTACAGGGTAAGCTGTCAAGTTGTCAGAAGTGGGTGAAAGGACACAGGAGTTAATATTAATATGTAAGTGACTGATTTTTAAAATTTTAATCAGAGAATGTGATTACTTAAAAGGAATGGGTATTTATATAATCAAAGTAATCAGAAATGATTCTAATATACAGATTATTATGACCTAAGTCTTTAAATTCAGTTGTAATTGTTTAATGCCTTAGTTCACCACAAATTTTCATACAAAGTCACTTTTAAAAGTTAAAAATAATGAAGTATCATTAAAGGAATAATTAAGTCTTACCACTATTTTACTTATCCATATTTTAGTCATGAAAATAAAATATGATGGTAACCCAGTTACAGTTATCAAATTTCAATTTGGCTAGTTTGATAGCTTGTATACTCAATCTAAAATTATAATAAATTAAATAGCATTTTAAACTTTTCTGTAATGCATAAGGAAGATTATAGAAGTTGTTTCTCTCTTACCCATATCTTTAAAAAAATTGTGTCAATCCTATGAAAGTGTTAGGCTTTCTAAAGCAGAAGAAATATACAATAGCACAAGAATGCCAGCAATAAAAGTAGCAATTCATGGCACACTCACTCATTTTGGAGGCTTTATTTCCTAACCTTGTGAGAATATTGTTTATATAAACTTTTGTTAAGCACAAGAGTCGTCTGATTTTAACTGTATGCTTTCGCAAAAGAGGAAGGCATGGAAAACAAGAATTCTCTTAAGAGTGTTGGAGGAATTTCTGTAGGACATATTGAAGCCATTCTACTGGGCATTGTGTATTTGGACGTGCATGAGAAATTCAGATTGTCCCAGAGGGCATTACAGACTTCTGGAATTATAAACATCATTTCATTGTAGACATTTCTACTTTTAACAAAGTAACATCTATGCCACTATTTCTCATCACAGGTGACACTTTTGGCATGTTTATGCTAACTTCAGTTTATAGATGAAATCTACTCTTAGCACTTTGATTAATATGGTCTTGTCTGAGGTAATAAAACATAATTAATAAGAGAAAAGTTCTAGATTCTCTTCAGAAGCCAACTCTAAGTACAGTCGTCTTCCTCATACAAACTGAGCCTGAAATTTTAGACATATACCTAGTTTCCCCCATTTTAAGCTGAAATCTGATGGGGATATTTACTAGGCAAAGGTCAGAGGGAGGAGCAAATCAAAATCAAAGAAAAAGACAGCAGCAGAAGGAAGCCTAGCTCTGTGCTTCTGAAATTCCAATCCCTAAGACTTTTCTAGAGATTATGTCAGAATGCAGATTCTGTTTTAGTAGCTGTTGGGTGAGTCTTTCAGACATCTTCATTTCCAACAAAGTGATGCCTGTGGACATTTGTCACTCACTGGGACTTCACTATTGAAGGACCTAGATTATCAGAGAGTCTTGATCTTTGGCGAAACAACAAATGGCAAATGTGTCTGGTATGCAAAGGGAGAAGCAGGGAAGAGCCAGATGTGTCCAGGTGGGCCAGCATAGTTATGTTCTCAAGGAACCTTAAAGAGTAATTCAGGGATTTGTTCCTTACCTCAACTTATAGAAAAACCATTGAAGCATTATTGAATGATTTTGAAAATAGTGGTTCCATGTTCAGAATTTTCTTTAGAGTATTAACAGAAAAACATGTTGATGAACATTAGTTCAGAAAATAAAATCTAATTTATCTAATTTGCTTAATAACAATATTTATATTTATTAAATAGTGGCATGTAACTTTCCTGGTAGTAAAAAGATTCTTTAAAGAAAAAAAAAAAACTTCCACTGTGATCATGGATGATAAGTTAGTTGAAAATCAAAGGGTGTATTTTTGGTAGGTTTATTAATCAATGATCTCATTTTCATAACATTTTTTAGAGAAAGACAAGAAAATAGGGAAAATATGCCATAGATAACACAGGAGTCACTGTGGAGTATGCAGTATGATATGCAGAGGTAGATAATAACTTGACACAAAATTAAATTAAATTGACTACCCACTCACATTTTGTGCAATTGTCTCCTATCTTGCTTATTGTCTACCTTTGAGCACAAAATGTCTGCACTACTGCATCCAGTATAGATAGTCTTTTCAATTTTAGCCATTTTTATAAGTGAGTTCTGGAACATCATTGTGGTTTTAATTTGAATTTCTCTGATGTCTAATAATGTCCAGCATCCTATCCCTTTTTGACATTTGTATGTCTTCTTTTGTGAAGGGTTGTTTAGTTTGTTGACTCATTTTTAATTGGATTATAAGTTTCTTTTATAATTGAACTTTAAGCATTTTTAAAAATATGCTGGAGATGAATCTTTTATCAGATATATGATTTGCAAACATTCTCTGAGGGATCCTGATTGCGTTTCCCTTCCGCAAGATATGACATGGATCTGTTAAACTTATAACTTTATGCTGATTGAATTTAGTGAGCAGGAAATAGCTACTACTCTAGACTTATTGGTAAGACATTTTTGTGCCAGAAGTTGAGAAATAAATCTAACAGAAATTTGGGGGACTTCTATCTCAGTGAAATTTCTAGGTGTCCAGTGATGTTAGACATGTTGAATAACCAATTGTAAGGCAAAGGATAAGCTGTTGCTTCTGGATTCTCCTAAAAACAAAAAAAGTGGCATAACACCTAGGTGGCCTCTTTGGATTATGGAGACAACATAATTTGGGGGAAGGGGATTTCTCTGGCTCATTTACCGAGTAACTCAATAAGCTACTAGGTTTTTTGTGGAACTCAAAACTCAAGAAGGCTCCACACTAGGTCTAGGCTGCTGTGCAAACTGCTCTGCATAGGATCCAGCAGAACTGCTGATGCTTGATTGGCAGTGGCAGATAGAAAGGTTTTGGGGCATTTGGCAGGTATATATAGTAGAGCTCAGAAAAAAAGATCTGTTGGGAAAGCCTCATTCTTCTTAGAGATTACTTAAGTAATTATGAATAGAATATTGGTAGAAATATGAATGTTAAAGACTCTCTTGACAATGTCTTAGATGGAAATGAGAAATGTCTTATTGGAAATTGGAGGAAAGGCCATTATATAAACTGGTAAAGAAGTGATAAAGAACTGGAGGAAAGGCCATTATTATAAACTGATAAAGAACTTGACTGAATTATTTCCATATCCTAGAACTTTGTGGAAGGCAGAACTTAAGAGCAATGAGCTAAACTACAAGGGCAGAAGAAATATCTAAATAGCAGTGTTGAGGGTGCTGCATGACTTCTCTTAACTGCTTATAATTTTAAAAAGCAAGAAAAGATTAATAATTCAATGACAGAAATTGTAGTTAAAAAAGGAAGCAGAACAAAAAAGGATTGGAAAATTCTAAACCTTGCCATGTAAAAAATTAAAAAGGATG